GACCCCTCTGGGGGTCCGGTCATTGCGACCTCCTCCACTGTCCTTCCTTGTCCTGCGGTCCCGTCCGGCACGCTGTCAGGTCTCTACCTCCCCTCGTTCTCTACGAACTTGGTGGCGGGTTCCGCGCTCCAGGACTCAGGTGTTCACCAGTTCACCCCTGCCTACGAGCGCGTGACACACTGCACGTGTGCTCGGACGGGTCGCCACCTGGCTACTTTCACTCGAGAGCCGGGGTCGGACCTGTACACACTGACCACTGAGTCCCCTCAGGTAGCTGCGTCTGCGTCTACGTCTGCGTCTGCGTCAGGTCAGCTGTCCGCCCCCTGCTCGTGTCGCTCTCTGGCGCATGAGACTGTCCTTTGGCACCACCGCCTTGGTCACCCGTCTGTGCAGCGCCTTCGGGCCATGCACAAACGGGACCTTGTTGCTGGTCTTCCCAGGGTGCTCCCTCCCCTTCCCGACTCACCTGCTCCTCCCTGTCTTCCCTGTGTCGAGGGGCGGCAGCGCGCCGCTCCTCACTCCTCCTCCTTTCCCCCGACGACTGCTCCTTTGCAGACACTCCACATGGACGTGTGGGGCCCAGCCCGCGTCCGTGGTCAGGGTCAGGAGAGGTACTTTCTGATTGTTGTTGACGACTTCTCGCGCTACACCACGGTCTTCCCCTTGCGCACCAAGGGTGACGTCCCTGATGTCTTGATCCCTTGGATCCGCAGATCTCGTCTCCAGCTTAGTGAGCGTTTCCGCTCCGACTTCCCTGTCCTGCGTCTGCACTCTGACAGAGGTGGAGAGTTTTCCTCTGGCCTCTTGGAGGCCTTCTGTCAGCAGGAGGGCATTGAGCAGTCGTTTACGCTTCCGGCCTCTCCACAGCAGAATGGGGTTGCTGAGCGCCGCATTGGCTTGGTCATGGAGGTCGCTCGTACCTCCTTGGTTCATGCGGCTGCCCCCCACTTTCTGTGGCCGTTTGCAGTCCGATACGCTGCGCATCAGCTCAACCTCTGGCCCCGTGTCTCCTTGCCCGAGACTTCTCCGACACTGCGTTGGACGGGAGAGGCTGGCGATGCGTCGCGTTTTCGGGTTTGGGGATCCCGAGCTTTTGTTCGCGACACGTCCGCGGACAAGCTCTCCCGTCGCGCTGTCCCCTGTGTCTTCCTTGGCTTTGTCCCGGACGCGCCTGGTTGGCAGTTCTACCACGCCACCTCGCGTCGTGTCCTGGCCTCTCAGGACGTCACTTTTGACGAGTCCGTCCCCTACTACCGCCTCTTCCCCTACCGCACTGCCCCGCTCCCCCCCCCACCTCTCTTCCTCGCTCCAGGTGCTGAGGTACCAGACCCCCTCCCCCCTCAGGGTGCCGCTCCCTCAGGTGTGTCCCAGGTAGACCCGGGTGAGCCTGTCGAGGTAGCTGTTGACTCTCGTCCTGCGTCTAGGGGTGCTGAGTCTGGGGGTGCTGAGTCTGGGGGTGCTGAGCCTGGGGGTGTTGAGCCTGGAGGTGCGGAGCCTGGGGGTGTTGAGCCTGGAGGTGCGGACCCTGGAGGTGTGGAGCCTGGAGGTGCTGAGCCTGGGAGTGCGGAGTCTGGGGGTACTGAGACTGAGCGTGCTACACCTGGAGGAGCCCTCTCCTCCCAGCAGCTGCAGGAGAGGTACCTCGAGTACTGCCGCCTCCGGAGAGGTGCTGCTGGAGCTCGTCCCAGTACTTCCCCTCCTACCCAGGAGCTCCCCCCCATTCAGCAGATCCGAGAGTGGTACACGCGACGCTGCAGTCTTCGGAGTGGTGCTCCGGGTGCTGCGGACCCTGGGGGTGGCACTGCTGCTGGTGCTGAGGACCCGAGCGGTGGCGCTGCTGCTGGTGCTGAGGACCCGAGTGGTGGAGCTGCTGCTGGTGCTGAGGACCCGAGTGGTGGAGCTGCTGCTGGTGCTGAGGACCCGGGCGTTGGAGCTGAGGACCCGGACGGTGGAGCTGCTGCTGGTGCTGCGGAGCCGAGCGGTGGCGCTGCTGCTGGTGCTGAGGACCCGGGCGTTGGAGCTACTGCTGGAGCTGAGGACCCGGGAGTTGGAGCTGCTGCTGGTGCTGAGGACCCTGCCGCTGGTGTCTCTGCTGGTTCTGGAGACGCTACGCGGCCGCGACCGTACTTCGTTCCGCTCCTTCAGCAGGTTCTTGGTCAGGCTCCTCCTCCTTGTCCTCCTCCCTCCGTAGAGTGTCCTCCGCCTGTCCAGTCGCAGTCACAGTTACCGCCTGCCTCGCCTCTTCCTCGTCCCTCTCCTTACACTGGTCCCACCGGAGGCCTTTCAGAGCGTCGTGAGCCTGCGTCTCGTCCTGCGTCGCCTGTTCGTACTGCTCGCACTGGTCGTCGTGTCCTACGTGAGCGTCCTCCTCCTGTCCCTGGCACTCACTACATGACTCTGCGTCCCTCCACTGCTCCTCAGCGTGTCCCTCTGCCGTCTCCTCCTGCGTCCTCTCTACCTACTCTTCCTGACCCGGAGTCTGACTCCCGTCGTGCTGCCAGTCCCACTGTCACGCGTCTTCTCGCCACAGTTGTCACTGACCCTACTTTTGAGTCCGCCGCTGCGTCTGCTCTGGTCGCTGAGTTGGTTGACTTTGCTGCTCGCTGTCGCCTAGACTACGCTGCTAGCCTTGTTGCTGAGTCTGAGTCTGCGTCTGCCTGTCCTCCGTCCGTCGGGGGTGAGTGTGCTCTTGGCACGGACGTCCTTGAGGACAGACAGGAGGAGTTCCAGTGCTTTGCTGCTGCTTTGCCCCACCTCGTGTCCATGCTAGTTGCCCCTGAGGGAGACCCGGATGCACCAGACATCCCGACCCCGCGCACTTACGCTGAGGCGATGGCGGGTCCCTACTCCTCTCAGTGGCAGACAGCCATGGACGCAGAGATGGCTTCCTGGAAGTCCACACGCACCTACGTCAACGAGGTTCCCCCACCTGGGGCGAACATCGTCAGTGGCATGTGGATTTTCAGGGTGAAGCGGCCGCCGGGTTCTCCGCCTGTCTTCAAGGCGCGTTACGTGGCTCGAGGCTTCAGTCAGCGAGAGGGAGTTGACTTCTTTCAGACCTTCTCCCCCACCCCGAAGATGACTACTCTTCGGGTGCTGCTGCACATAGCCGCTCACCGCGACTACGAGCTTCACTCACTTGACTTCAGCACTGCTTTCTTGCAGGGCAGCCTGCACGAGGAGATCTGGCTGCGCCGCTCACCTGGCTTCACTGGGTCGTTTCCTCCTGGTACCCAGTGGAGGCTTCAGCGGCCGGTCTACGGTCTCCGCCAGGCTCCACGTGAGTGGCACGACACACTGAGGACTACACTTGCGGCTCTTGGGTTCGCGCCTTCTACTGCTGACCCGTCGCTGTTTTTGCGCACCGACACTTCGCTGCCGCCGTTCTACATCCTCGTGTACGTCGACGACTTGGTCTTTGCCACTACTGACACTGCAGGACTCGCTTACGTGAAGTCGGAGCTGCAGAGGAGACACACGTGCACAGACCTGGGTGAGCTGACAAGCTATCTTGGCTTGCGGATCACCCGGGACAGAGCACGGCGCACCATCACCCTGACTCAGTCACACATGGTGCAGCAGGTTCTCCAGCGCTTCCGCTTCACGTACTCCTCGCCTCAGTCCACTCCTCTGCCTACCGGTCACTCGCTCTCAGCTCTGCCTTCGGATGAGTCCGTAGAGCCGAGTGGCCCGTATCCAGAGCTTGTGGGCTGCCTCATGTACCTGATGACCTGCACTCGACCTGACCTTGCATACCCTCTTAGCATCCTTGCACGCTATGTCGCTCCTGGCCGTCACAGGAAGGAGCACATGGATGCCGCTAAGAGGGTGTTGCGCTACTTGTGCAGTACGTCGGGCATGGGGCTAGTGCTTGGAGGGCGAGACCGAGTTGTGCTCACTGGACACTCAGACGCTTCTTGGGCGGACGACCAGGCTACTCAGCGGTCGTCTCAGGGTTACACCTTCAGCCTTGGCTCTGGCTCAGTTTCTTGGCGTTCCACACGCTCTTCGTCTGTTCTCAGCTCCAGTTGTGAGGCTGAGATCTACGCCACAGCCATGGCGGCCCAGGAGCTTCGCTGGCTGACCTACCTGCTGACCGACTTGGGAGAGAGGCCTCGTTCTCCTCCAGTGCTGTACGTCGACAACAAGGCTGCCATCGCCTTGTGTGAGGAGCACAGACTGGAGCACCGAACGAAGCACATCGCCCTGCGGTACTTCCTGGCTAGAGAGCTACAGCAGCGTGGTCAGCTTTGTCTGCGTTACGTGGCCACTGAGGCCAACACTGCTGATGTGTTCACCAAGGTGCTTCAGCCTTGTGACCATCAGCGCTTTTGTACTCTTTTGGGCCTTGTGCCTACTGGACCTCACTTGCTCACTTCTTGACTTTGCTTGTACTGTGATCTCTATATATATATATACCTGCATGTTTACTCTTGCTAGGTTGTGATCACTGTATCTCTTGCTCTGTTATAAACCTGCATGTGAACTGGTCTTGTGACCGCTTGCTTGTGCTCGGAATTTGTGTGGAATCCTCGAGATCCACCCTGAGCCTGTTTTGCCTTGCTTTGCTTTGACTGGTCTTGTGACCCCTTGTTCTCCCCCACTTTGCCTATGGGGGTGTGTCAAACATATGTGCTGCATACTGTCTAGGCTGTAGTGGGGTAGCCCATATGGGGTACAACCCAAATTAGGGTTTACTACTTGTACTCTTGCATGCTGCTAGTTCACTCATTCCTGCCTGTTCATTCTGACACAAGAGGTTAAAAATGCCTTCGCGGCGATGGGGAAGAACAAGTCCCCAAAGAGTGATGGGCTTCCGAAAGAGTTGTTTGAAGCACACTGGGATCTGCTTAGGGGGAGCTTCATGGCAATGGCAAGAGACTTCAAATCATCGGCTTCTCTTCCGGCGGAGTTCAAGGAAGCAGTGATGATTCTCCTGCACAAAAAAAGGGGATCGTGATCAGCTCAATAACTACAGACCCATAACGCTGCTGTTTCACTTACAAGGTGCTGGCGAGAGTGGGGGCGGATTGAATAAAATTGGTGCTGCATCACGTGATCCCTCCGGAACAATACAGCTTTCTTCCGAGGAGGCGTCTGTCCGATGCGGTGGCGCTGGTGGCTGATATAATAGACGCTGCTAAGAACGTAATAATAATAATAATAATAGCAATAATAATAATAATAATGATGATGATGATGATGATGATGATGATGATGATGATGATAATAATAAAAATAATAATAATAATAATAATAATAATAATAATCATAATCATAATCATCATCATCATCATCATCATCATCATCATCATCATCATCATCATCACCATCATCATCATCATTTTTATAATAACACCGTGGAGTTACCGGTTTTAGGAACTCAAATCAGCGGAATGAGTAGGATACATTGGGTTGGGGTACAAATGCCTAACCCTAACTGTTTGTACCCCATATAGCATAACCCACTAGAGGCTATTGTCAAACTGTAGTATGCTTGTAGGCTGTAGTGGGGTAGCCAATATGGGGTACAACCCCAACTAGGGTTTCATATTTGTACCCAAAACTTCTGCTAGTTCATCATTCTTGCCTAGTGATTCTGACATGGTATTCAGAGCAGGAGGTCCCTAGGACCTACCGATCGTTTTTTTTTAGGGCCCACCACCGCTCGCATGCGGTTACCACGCTACCCCGTTCCCTAGCCTCGTAGCGCCCTCGTGCGCCCTCGTTAGCGCCCTCGCGCGCACCCTCGTTAGCGCCCTCGCGCGCACTCACGTCAGCGCCCTCGCGCGCCCCTTCGTTAGCGCCCTCGCGCGCCCCTTTGCTAGCGCCCTCGCGCGCCCCTTGCTAGCGCCCTCGCGCGCCCCTCACTAGCGCCCTCGCGCGCCCCTCACTAGCGCCCTCGCGCGCCCCTCGCCGAGCCGCCCGCTCGCAGCCCGCCCGCCCGCTCGCTGCCCGCTTCGCGGCCCGCTCGCTACGCAGCCCGCCCGCCCGCTCGCTGCCCGCTTCGCGGCCCGCCCGCTTCGCAGCCCGCCCGCTCGCTGCCCGCTTCGCGGCCCGCCCGCTTCGCAGCCCGCTCGCTCGCTGCCCGCTTCGCGGCCCGCCACTTCGCAGCCCGCCCGCCCGCTCGCTGCCCGCTTCGCGGCCCGCCCGCCTCGCAGCCCGCTCGCCCCGCTGCCCGCTTCGCGGCCCGCCCACTTCGCAGCCCGCCCGCCCGCTCGCTGCCCACTTCGCGGCCCGCTCGACCCGCTGCCCGCTTCGCAGCCCGCCCGCCCGCCCGCTGCCCGCTTTGCGGCCCGCCCGCCTCGCAGCGTCGCCCGCCCACCGTGCTGCCCGCTTGCAGCGCCGCCTGCCCGCCGCGCTGCCCGCTTCCCGGCCCGTCCGCCGCGCTGCCCGCTCGCAGCGTCGCCCTCCCGTCGCACTGACCGCTTGCAGCGCCACCTGCCCGTAGCGCCAGCCTCGCCCGCTGCTCTCTATCCGTGCACAGTCGTCTTCCCCTGCTGCGGCAGCTTGCGTTACTCTGTCACACTGTCGCTATGGCTTCCATTCGCGTGCTGTCGTTCGATGCTGAGGGCCGCCCTGTGCGTTTCACCGCTTGGCTAGATGACCTGCAGCTGTTTCTCCTGAGCGATAGCAAGGAGCATGTGTCGCTCTATGACTACGCGTCTGGTGCTGCGCCTGCCCCTCCTGCCACAGCTGAGCTTAGTGTTCGTTCCCACTGGCAGACTCGTGACGCAGCTGCTCGCCTAGCCATTCGCAGTCACCTGCCGTTAGCTGAGCTAGAGCATTTTGGCGACTGCAAATCCGCTAAGGCCCTGTACGACGCTGTCGTCGCTCGCTACTCCTCGCCTGCCACAGCCGAGCTTAGCCGCCTCATGCTGCCGTACCTGTTCCCCGATCTGTCCACCTTTACTACAGTCGCCGATCTTATCACCCACCTTCGCACTAGTGATGCTCGCCTGCGTGCCGCCCTTCCCACCGAGTTCTGCGCTAAGAACCCCCCTCCACTGTACTGGACACTCCACTTCATAGTCACCCGTCTCCCTGACACCCTCCGCTCAGTTCGAGACCACTTCCTTGCTCGCTGTCCCACTGAGCTCACAGTCGCCCTCCTAGAGGAGCACCTGCTCGCGGCCGAAAAGAGCATTGTGGCTGTCGGTGCTGCTCGTGGCGCTCCTCGCACCCCCATCTTTGAGGGGTGTTCTCCCTCTCCCCTCGCTCCCTCCTACGCTGCTGCTGCTGCTGTTGACTTCCTTGGTGCTGAGTCTGTTGGCGCTGCTTCTACTCCTGGTGGGAGGCGCCGCACCGGCAAGGGCAAGGGGGGCAAAAGTGGTGGTGGTGGCGCTGGTGGGGGAGGAGGTGGGGGAGGTGGGGGGGGAGGCGGTGCTGGAGGGAGCGGTGGCGGGAGCGCTGGTGGGAGTGGGGTCGGTGGTGGAGACGGGGGCGGCGGAGGGAGCAGTGGCAGTAGTGGCGGCGGCGGCGGTGGCGGCGGTGGCGGTGGTGGCGGTGGTGGCGGTGGCGGTCGGAGCGGTGGTAGTGGTGGCGGCGGAGGTCGGAGTGGAGGCACTGGCTCTGGCCAGAGCTCCCAGCAGCAGCAGCGTCCCCAGACGACCCAGCAGCTTCGTGAGTGGCTTGCTCAGCGTGGGACGTCGGGGGCCAGTGCCCGCTGTTCTTATGTCATTCGCACAGGTGACCGCAAGGGACAGACGTGTGGGAGGTTCCACACCCCGTACCGCTGCTTCTCCCGCCTTGACGACGCTTGGCGTGAGGAGATGGGTGCGGATGTTGAGCGCCCCCGCTGGGCTGAGCTCATGAGGGCTGGTGTTGATGTCTTTGCTCTTGACTATGATGCTATTATTGCTGCCATGTATGCATTGACTGTTAGTGCCGAGGGAGACTGTTACTTGTGTGTGCCGCCTGACCCAGGTATAGAGCCCGCTGCCCTGGGTACTAGTGAGTCTGCTCTCTCTGGTATGGTGCCCCCTGTACTTGCTCCCTCCAGTGCTGTCCCGGCTGGTTTCGAGTCTGCTCTCTCAGGTACCGCACCGGCTGAGGCCTGTCACACCTTCACCCTTGACTCAGGTGCTTCCCGTTGCTTCTTTCGTGACAGTACTGAGCTCACACCGCTTCCTGCACCGGTCCCAGTCTCCTTGGCTGACCCCTCTGGGGGCCCAGTCCTTGCCCAGTCTACCACTGTCCTCCCTTGTCCGGCGGTTCCGTCTGGCTCGTTGTCGGGTTTCCACCTCCCCTCGTTCTCGACGAACCTGGTGAGCAACGCTGTCCTCCAGGATCAGTGGGTTGACACCTTTACCCCTGGCGGACAGCGTGTGGCGATCTGCACGTGCTCCAGGACCGGCCGTCACCTGGCCACGTTCACCCGTCGGCCGGGGTCGAGTCTCTACACACTGACCACTGCGTCTCCCCAGGTAGCTGCTGTCGGTCAGGTGTCTGAGTCAGGTCTGGTGGCCCACGCCTGTGAGTGTCGTTCCCTGTCGCACCAGACTCTTCTCTGGCACCACCGCCTGGGTCACCCCTCCTTGCCACGCCTTCGTGGCATGCACCGTCGCCTCCTTGTGTCCGGTCTTCCCAGGTCCCTCCCTCCCCTCCCTGCCTCGCCTGCGCCGCCTTGCCTTCCTTGCGTCGAGGGGCGGCAGCGCGCCGCTCCTCACTCCTCCTCGTTCCCCCCGACAGAGGCTCCTCTGGAGACCCTCCACCTGGACGTGTGGGGCCCAGCCCGCGTTCGTGGTCAGGGCGGTGAGCGGTATTTTTTGCTGGTTGTCGACGACTACTCGCGTTACACCACGGTCTTCCCCTTGCGCACCAAGGGTGAGGTCCCTGCTGTTCTGATCCCTTGGATCCGCACGGTTCGTCTCCAGCTCCGCCGCCGTTTCCGGACGGATCTTCCTGTCCTGCGTCTGCACTCTGACAGAGGTGGTGAGTTTTCCTCCGACCTCTTGAGGACCTTCTGTCAGGCGGAGGGCATCGAGCAGACCTTCACGCTTCCGGACTCCCCACAGCAGAATGGGGTTGCTGAGCGTCGCATTGGCCTGGTCATGGAGGTCGCTCGTACCTCCTTGGTCCACGCGGCGGCTCCCCATTTTCTGTGGCCGTTTGCTGTCCGGTACGCCGCGCATCAGCTCAACCTCTGGCCCCGTGTCTCCTTGCCGGAGACCTCGCCCACACTGCGTTGGACGGGGGAGGTTGGCGATGCGTCGCGCTTCCGGGTGTGGGGTGCTCGTGCCCTTGTCCGCGATACGTCCGCGGACAAGCTCTCCTCCCGCACGCTTCCCTGTGTCTTCCTTGGCTTTGTCCCTGACGCGCCTGGATGGCAGTTTTACCACCCCACCTCGCGCCGGGTCTTCGCCTCTCAGGATGTCACCTTTGACGAGTCGGTCCCCTTTTACCGTCTCTTCCCCTACCGCACTGCCCCCCTCCCTCCCCCGCCACTTTTCCTTGCTCCTGGTCCCCCTCCGGTAGACCCCCTTCCCCCTCAGGGTCCTGCTCCTTCAGGTGTCTCTCAGGTAGACCCTCCTCCCGTCGCTGAGCCTGTCGAGGTCACAGGTGACTCAGGTGCTGCTGCGGGTGGTGCTGCTGGGAGTGCTGAGCCTGGGGGTGCTGAGCCTGGGGGTGCTGGGCCTGGGGGTGCTGGGGCTGCAGGTGCTGGGACTGAGGGTGCTGGAGCTGAGGGTACGGTGCCTGAGAGTACGGAGCCTGGGGGTGCTGCGCCTAGGGGTGCTGAGCCTGCGGGTGCGAGGCCTGGGGGTGCTGAGCCTGGGGGTGCTGCGACTGGGGGTGCTCGTACTGGGGGTACTGGAGCTGCCGGGACTGGCTGTTCTGGGAGCACTGCGACTGGAGCTGCTGGAGCTGGGGACTCTGGCGCTGGCGGTGCTAGCGGAGTTGGAGCTCCCGACTCTGGGGGTGGCGCTGCTGCTGGTGCTGCGGACCCACCTGGTGGAGCTGCTGCTGGTGCTGAGGAGTCGGACGGTGGAGCTGCTGCTGGAGCTGGGGACCCGGCCGGTGGAGCTGCTGCTGGTGCTGTGGACCCGGACGCTGGAGCTCCTACTGGTGCTGAGGACCCGGCCGCTGGAGTCCCTTCTGCTTCTGGAGACGCTGCGCGGCCGCGACCGTACTTCGTACCGCTCCTTCAGCAGGTTCTTGGGCAGGCTCCTCCTCCTTGTCCTCCTCCCTCCGTAGAGTGTCCTCCGCCTGTCCAGCCGCAGTCACAGTTACCGCCTGCCTCGCCTCTCCCTGCTCCCTCTCCTTACGCTGGTCCCACAGGAGGTCTTACAGAGCGTCGTGAGCCTGAGTCTCGTCCTGCGTCGCCTGTTCGCACTGCTCGCACTGG